TGTGAAGATAAGGAATCAAGAGTTTTTTGTTTATCATCCCATTGAGCTTCAAGAGTCTTATATTTCAAAAGTTGATTTGAAATTAAATCTAGCTTCATATCTTTTTCTTTAGATTCAGCTACATTATTTGCATGATTGGCGGAAGCTACTTGAATCTTTTTTTCAAGTTCATCGATAACTTTATTTTTTTCATCTAGTTCTTGAGCAAGAAGTCGAATAGCTTCAGCTTGTTCAGGATCAGGAGATTGACTTCTAGCGATCAAATTTTGCTGTTCAACCAGTTCGTCTATTGCTCTTTTTTGAGCTTCTATCTGGGTTTCCAAGCGTTCAATTTCACTACGTTTCTTTCTACCGTCTTTCTCACTTTTCTTCAAGGCATATTCAAGCTCCTCTATTAACCTGTTTTTTCCGCGGATTTGCTCCTCATATTTTAGTTTCATCGACTCCAATTTAGTAGACAACTGTTTGATTTCATTTTCAATCTCCCTCCTGCTAGATGGCCATGAATCACTGTCATCCGAGTCCATGTCGTTTTCACTGCTTTGTTCACTTCTAACCTCGTCTGAAAGCCGATCTAATTTTCTATTATTGTCTCGTACAAAAGAAACTGTCGTAGCTAACACTTCTGCAACATCAATAACTTGGTTAGTAGAGTGATTAAAGCTATTACTACGCCTTAACTGTCTTTTTGATGGCTTTTCTTCGTTATATTTGTATGGATGAGAATAATATAATTTTTTACTATCATAGTTTATATAATTGTCTTTGTGTGATGTCAGTGAGGCAGCCAGCACAGCGGCAGCATCTGCAGGGGTAACAATTTTGTTTGGAGTGTAGCCTTTTGGCGGCGAAGACAGATTATACTTCTCTTCTGATTTTAAGGAATGACGTCGTGTTCTTGTGGGTGTTGGTGGTGAAGATTTTTTAGGTGTTGACGGTCGAGGCGAATATTGTCGGAATATGGGATTATCTGTTAAATAATTCAAAAATAATGATCAAAGGAATTAATTGGATTAAAGGTAAATGAAAAAAAATATACTAATAAGAAAGATACAAATAACATATATATATATATATATATATATGTGTAGATGTATATGTATATGTATATATGATATATATATATATATAAACGACGACATATGATGATAGAGATCATATCTCAGCGTAATGAATTATAATTTTCTATCTCAGCTCATAGATAAATTGTATTATTTGTATTTATAATTAACTTTAATTTGTTAGGTGCGAAATGTAAAGCGAGATGAAGAGGTCAAAACGAAAGTGGAACAATGACTCGCAAGAACAAAACGTATTGTAAATGCCGAAAAAATAAAATAAATAAAACCCTCAATTTGAATTGTAACGCATTATACTTTTAAGAATTCTCTTTTACGTAAAGGTTTAAAATGTGAAGAAGAAAAAGATGACACTTTAGAATACTTACCACCGTTCTCGCACTCTTCATCACCTACTCCTGCTTTATTGGTAAGCTCCGATTGTTTGTATTCATCGTTACCACTAAATCGCATCATCTGAAAAGGATTTACCTGAAGAGACGTTTTGGTTGAGTTCGTTTTTTTTATGTTTCAACCTACATTTAATAGCAAAGGAATAAGGCGAAAAAAAAAATAAAAAAAATATTTTACCCAATAACTACTGGTATCTGCCATTTACTGTGTTAGAAAGAAAGAAAAAAAAAAAAAAAGAAAGAAAAGAAAGAAGAGAACGGCTTCATCAGTTAGAAGTTGGGGAGATGTGTGCATTATTGTCATCTTGCATACCTTATGTTGAAATTGCTCTATCAGTTAGCTGGGTGAAATCGTTTTTACTTAGAATGCTTGAGTGGTGTATTCTGCTGCTCGAACGGTGGTAATCCACAGTCTGCCTGTCAACGCGTTGTTTGTTTGTTAAAAACAAGTAGCAAACCCCCCTCGCTTGTCCTGCCTTAAAATTATTTCAAGTGACGTCAGATATGCAAGATTTTT